TCCTCATACACCTACATCTTGAATTAATGCTTTAATTTGGTCATATTTTTTTCTGAACCTGTGAATATTTATACCCCCGCTCCGAGGGAGAGGGGGGTAGACTGTTTTACCCTTGTGTATCTGTCTGTCTGTGTGTTCGTGTGTCTGTCCGTACCAAATTTTCGTCACAGTATTCTCAGCAACTACTCAGCGCAGATGCTCGAAATTTTAGCACAATCTTTGTTTAAGCATGCCATATGGTGGCATTCATTTTTGTTTTGTTTGAATCCGATGTTAACTTCCTGCTTATCCGTGCTTCGTCTAACCGTAACAAATTTTCGTCGTAGTTTTCTCAGTAACTAATCATCACAGATGCTTGAAATTTTAACAAACTCTTGTTAAGGCATGCCAAATGGTAGGATTCATTTTTGTTTGAATTCAATATCAACTTCCTGTTATGTGTGCGTCTGTCTGTACCAAATTTCCGTCGCAGTTTTATTAGCAATTACTCAGCGCAGATGCTCGAAATCTAAGCACAATCTTTGTTTAGGCATGCCATATAATGGTATTTATTATTGTTCGAATCCAATGTCAACTTCCTGTTTGTCCATGCGTCTCTCCGTACCAAATTTCTGTCACAGTTTTCTCAGCAACTGCTCAGCGCAGATGCTTGAAATTTTAGCACAATCTTTGTTTAGGCATGCCAAATGGTGGGATTAATTTTTGTATGAATTCGATGTCAACATGAGAGTATATTCACATCACAGCGGGGGTATTACTAGTGAGCATTCGCTCACAGCCTTCTTGTTTTAATTTTTCTTAATGTTATTAAGGTACATGTACCATCTTAAATATTCAAGTAAATTTCTTTAGAAATATCTGGAGTTTAATGAACTATATGGAAACTAAGTGAACTATATTTTAGTATAAATAAGACCTAAACAAGTGCGGATGGGGGAAAATGAATCTGGAAGCGGTATCGGTATTAAATTAAAAAAAAATAAATATGGAAACAAATTCTAAAAAAGTAATTATATATATATATATATATATATATATATATATATATATATATATATATATATATATATATGTGTGTGTGTGTGTGTGTGTGTGTGTGTGTGTTCCTTAGTTCTCCTGCCAAACGACTGAGCTTGGTTTTTGTTAAAAGCAGGCAAAAACAAATCATCTTGTAGAAGTGAAATATGTCGTTTATTAAAGTAAATGACGAAAGAAGTAAAACACAGTTAACAAAATGGGGGTCAGGAAAAGGGGACTCAAATATAGAGTATTACACATCTTAGGCAAAATATTGTAACATGATGTACATAAGAAAAAAAGGGGGGGGTGTCAACCCATCTTCGCTAGCCGAGGGTTTCTGATACGCTACTCTCCTCATAAACCCTTGGCATACGGTGCTGACAAAAAGACGGGATTGTTTTCGTCACGTGATCACGATTCTTACCAGGTACGCACAGATTGCGTCATCGACAGAAATAAAAAGTGTGTTTAAAAAAATAATGTTTTTAAAGAATTATTAACAAGAAGGTATTGAGTTATGTTAATTCGGTATTTAAACATGTTAAAATGCAAATCTACATCTTCAGTATAGATTCTTAATCATATATTTTGCACGTAGCTTAAGATATTGGATGACACCATATAGCTATTCTTAGAATGGCATGTTATCTTACGGATCGTTGTTTACTTGCGTTTTTCATTCCCGATATTAAAGAGTCAAGGTATATCCCGAACGCAAATATCGTCATTTACGAAAAACAATTGCTGATTGGTCGAACGATGTCGATCAACTCCAATCACAACTTGAGAAAAAAATCCCAACTTTTTTTAACACCGTATGCCAAGGGCTTATGAGGAGAGTAGCGTATCAGAAACCCTTGGCTAGCGAAGATGGGGTCAACCAGACTGGAATAAGCATTCAAACCCTGTAATCTACATAAGATATATATATATATATATATATATATATATATATATATATATATATATATATATATATATATATATATGTATATCTTTATATATATTTAAAACATGATTGTGACGTAAACCTTTTGTTTGTGTTGTCCATTCTATAGCTTAATGTTGAGCTAACTCCTCAAACAATCCATTAAGGGAGTATGGTACTGACAAGTCCTAATTTCAGAGTAATTAAAACTCTAAAACATCCACATAAAATGAAAGAAGTACCTTTATATATTTCATAAAATATTATAAGAAAAGGTTCTAGTGAGTAAATCTAAAATTATGACGCACTAAAATAAGGGGGGTAACTCTGTATGATAAAGTGATATTTTTATAACCAATTTTTAAAAAATTGAGAACAACAATAAAAACAACATAAAAATTTTTTTTTTTGAAAAAGATGTCATCCACAATATTGAAATTTTAATTTCAAAACAAAATAGTGCAAGAAAAAAGCCAAAAAGACAAATTAATTTTGATTCATTTATATCATGACAATTTATTGGGAAAATGGGTTCATTTATATGTACAACGTATTTTTTAATAATGAAAGAATAATTAAAAGTTTGAAATCTTATGCTATATTTATAGTGATTTGCTTGCTTTACAAATTGCTAATAAAAAATTATAATGTTAGTGTGTGGTTTTGGAGTAATGTGCTCCCGAATTTCCTGACCCAAATTTCCTCTGCTCAAAAAGCTGTTATAAAATGTTAAAATAATGAGATTGCAATTTATTTACTTGCTTATAGTTTCTAACTCTCCTGATTTTGTCGTTTTAAACTCATTTTTTTTTATTATAGTTATTATTTTTCTCTTGTGACACGGCGGGCAACGCTTTTCACCAGACTTTTGCCGAACAACCCGAAGATCTTTCGATTTCCCGGTTTGGTTTTGTACAATATCGTGTACACGTCACTTCCAGTTTGCAACTCGTACACAAAATGCCGAATCGGAATCAAAGTTGAAAGTATACTTGGAGGAGGTGTTTACAATTATCTATGAATTGTTTTGAACAAAAAAAAATAGAATTTGAAACTCCGGCTTATAATTTCTAACGTTTTAGTGGAACGGATGAAATAAAGTGAATTGACGAAGACAGAATGCTCGAGGCTTATTGTACATTCGTTCTAGTATGTCATCTGATATGTCTCCATGTTTAATTTTAATTAATAATAAATCTTTCTCTTGAATGAATTTTTTCTATCTTCAGCAATATTGAATGATTAGATTTGATTCAGTGACGATTAACTAACCAGCTATTAGAATGAGAGGGGGGGGGGTCTGAGTAAAGTATATTGTCCTTTATCAGATTTTTTTTGGGAAGTTGCCCCCCCCCCTTTTGAAATTGTTGCTACAAGTCTGACTAAACCAAGATACATGCTGTTGAAGCTAGGGAAAATAGTGACACCACCACAATATACTACACTATACTTTGCTATGCATGTGTACAATATGGTGTAGAGTAACAACAATATTTAACAAAATCAGATAAAATTTTAAGAGCTAAAACCACAAAGTACAAAAATAGTCCTTCACTAAAATAGATGAACTTATGTTTTATAATTTGAAGGGTTTTAAACTATTTATCTTAAATATCTTTTTCTAGTTTTCTTTTTATGGTTAAAATAACCTTTGTTTCTCTAATAATAAGTATCATAAGTTTACAAGTCAAGCAGCAGGCTTGTAGCAACGGTTTCAAAAGTTTGGGGGGGGGGCACCTTCCCCCCAAAAAATCTGTGAAGCAAAAAAAAAAAAACAAAAAAAAAAAAACTCACCAAAAATAGGGGGAGGGGCAACTTCCCAAAATAATCTGATCGGCAAAAAAAAAGATACCAAACTAATTAAATGTCCATTTCGTGGAAATTGACAGTGTAGCAACGGGGGGGGGGGGGATCACTATAGCAAACTACTATACTCGGAAAAAGTAGGTCCCCCCAGCATTCTACGGGCTTCAGCAGCTATGTAATACTGCACCTGACATAACTCTCACACACTGACAGGAGCTTATAAATGAAGATAAAAACTTACAGTACATGACGTGAGGCAGCTTATTACCTCCTCAATGTAACCATACGCATGAGGGACGGGAGATTATTAATACAAGAAAGTTGTAGGAGATTATACATTCATGACATTGGGTCAGATTATGACACAGATTTGAGTCGTAAGCAATTTTTGTGTCAAGTATCAACTACCAATTAGCCTCCATTTGAGAGTAATAGACCAGGTACAAATAATACACCTTTTCTGCCAGAAGCCTTGAACTTGCTGGAATAACCTTGAGTCAAGGTCAGTTACTCAATACATACATGTAACCTTAGGTTATATGCAATATTTATGTTCAGTATGAGCATCTCATGTTCTCCATACAAAATACAGGAATTCAATGTTATTCTTAAAATGACATTTAACTTGATCAAAGGATCTTGAGTCAAGGTCATGGCATGCATTTGGGTCATTAGCAGTCCTTGTGTGCCATTTTCATAATTTATCCAATGGAAAACCTTGTTAAAAATAAGGAAGATGAATTTCCCAGGTTCTACTCTTTTTTTTTTAACATGCAGTGTATTTAGCATCTGTTCATACAATGATAAGGTAATGAAATAATTTTTATAATGAAATATATTTAATATTGCAAAATTCATGAGAATCAAAATACATTAACATATTGAAAACTTATTTGCTCTATCTACAATTTAAAAAAAAAAAGAAAAAGAATTTGTAATTTGACCAAATTTAAATTAATGAAAACTTATTACATTTAGTACCAAACACTGACACTGTATCTAAAAATGATGCTACAGACATGGCAAATTCTGATAACACCAATAATGTGTCCACAACTGATGTCATGGACATTTCAAACAGACTGAAGATATATGACTCTTTTCATATAAAACTCTGGGGTCTTTCAACTGAAAAAGTCTGCATTCTGAGATAGAATCCACTTTACTTTTTATAACGAGTCACACACAGTTTTCAATTCACATCTTCCATCAATAACTTCATATCGAATTTGTTGACAATGCCAGTTTTAAACTGCATTCGGTAATACTGGGACATCATAGGAAATGATAGTGTATCCAGTGACTATAAACACTTTTCTTGTCGTTACTCAAAACTTTAGTCTAATTCTGATTGTTACAAGAGAAACGTCTATATTCACTTGTTATTGTACACCTTCATTCCATTTATTTTTAGACCTGTAATTTTGTCTGCCTGTTTACTGATTGTTCTTTGTGGAAAAAGTTGAAAACTTTTCTCGTCTCATTGCTGATATGATCATGATGTTCCCGCTCTCTGTAAGAAACAATAATCTTGTTTTAGTTATTAGTTCAGGTGATAAAATAATTTTCATTTTCATAACAATCAAATGATCTTGTCCACCTGATCTAGTCAATACAGGCCTACAGAATGGTTGTGTGTGTGTGTGGGGGGGGGGGGGGGGGGTTCTGTTCTCCTTTTTTCTGAGAATAGTATTTGGCTATAGAGTAAATTTTCATTAAGATGTCGGTTGCACCCCCTTTTCAGCTCTACTGGTCAGAGACCAGAAGAGCTTATGCGATAGTAATGTGTCCGTCATCCGTCCGTCTGTCTGTCTGTCTGTCTGTCCGTCCGTCTGTAAACAATTTTTCAAAATGCTTCTCCTCCTACAGTTTTGGTCTGATTTCAATATAACTTGGCACACAAGTAGACTACACTAAGATACATAATTCTGTATATCGGTTTTTGATTTCGATGAATGGTGTTGCCATGGTTACTAAAAATAGAAATTTCCTTGAAATACCTTCAAAATGCTACCCCTACAGTTTTGGTCTGATTTTAGTATAACTTGGCACACAAGTAGACTACACTAAGATACATAATTCTGTATATCGGTTTTTGATTTCGATGAATGGTGTTGCCATGGTTACTAAAAATAGAAATTTCCTTGAAATACCTTCAAAATGCTACCCCTACAGTTTTGGTCTGATTTTAGTATAACTTGGCACACAAGTAGACTATACTAAGATGCATAATTCTGTGTATCGGTTTTTGATTTCGATGAACGGTTTTGCCATGGTTACTAAAAATAGAAATTTCTGTGAAAAACATTCAAAATGCTACTCCTCCTACAGTTTTGATCTGATTTCAATATAACTTGGCACACAAGTAGACTATACAAAGATGCATAATTCTGTGTATCGGTTTTTGATTTCAATGAACGGTGTTGCCATGGTTACTAAAAATAGAAATTTCCTTGAAATACCTTCAAAATGCTACCCCTACAGTTTTGGTCTGATTTTAGTATTACTTAGCATACAAGTAAACTACACTAAGATACATAATTCTCTGTACCAGTTTCGGATTTTGATGAATGGTGTTGCCATGGTTACTAAAAATAGAAATTTTCTTGAAATACTTTCAAAACGCTACTCCTCCTACACTTTTTGTCTGATTTCAGAATAATGTGACATACAAGTAGACTACAGAGATACATAATTGGTGTTATTGTTTTTTGATTTTGTTGAATGATGTTGCCATGGTTACTTAAATCAAAATTTCAGTAAAATTGTTTTTAAAGGCTACTCCTCCTACAGTTTTAGTCTGATATAATAATAAATCTTGCCAAAAAGAGACTAAACCAAGGATCATTATTCTATTTATTGCTGTTGCAAAGTTTCAAGTCCAAGTGCTACCTTTATCTTCCTTTATAAATACAACCAGTAGAGCTACAGTCTCATCAGAGACTTCTGGTTTTACTAGAGGTCTGCATCAATAAACTTGTTACATGTATATGGGCAGTTAGTGATTTCACATACCTAAACCTGTTGGCTTTATTTCAAACATGAAATGTTTAATAAGTAAATAACTATGAAACAACGTTGTATGTCCCTATGATACTATAAATAAACAATAATTAAGTATGTTTGTATTTATGTATAATTCATAATATTTAATGTCAAACCTAATATACCAGTTAGTATTCATCAAACAGTTACAATTCTTGCATATGGTTAGTGATGGGAAATTGGGATTTTTTTCATAATTGATTATTGGAATAATGGAATGCACTTTAATTGAAAAAAAATTGATTAATTTCAAATATTTTTATTTCTTCAATTTCAAATGTAGAATAAATTGTTTAGAAATTCTGGAGTGATTTCCAAAATACATTTTTGAAATAGTTTGTATCATTGGGTTCATTTATTAGATTATTATTTAGGATTTAGTTAAATTCAAAGAAGAATGAATCAAAAATCAAAGGAATAATTTGCTTTTAACTAATATTTTGAGTAATCGATTATCTATAATCAGGGACCATTTCGATTAGATAATTGATTTAATCGATTAATCATTACATCACTACATATGGTACTTTAAACTTTATCTAAAACTTGTCATAGGTATCAACTATGATATACATGGATTTGTCTTAAAGTGACACATAGGTCTAATTCACTGATTACATGTATTTTTATGTTTTTCTTCATACTGTAATATATCACTACATGTATAAAATACAATTTACTTGCTTACTAATTGTGAAATCTAGCCAATTATCAAAGAAAATAATCTAAGTAAAGCCAAGAAAAATGATTGGTTAAACCTGCTTTGTTTCCACTTTCATCATGTTCATGCTGGAAAAATTTAGAGTACCGGTAGGTACTGGTAGGCATATTTTTAATTTTTTTTTTTTTTTTGCGTGGACTTTTTTAAATAAAACAACCAAGTAACACTGATGTCCAGTCTATGTGAAAGTTTTTTAGACCCATAGGACATTTGGTCCTGTGTAATCAATGAACACACAGGACCGAATCAAATTTTGTCGGACCAAAAAACCTAATGTAAAAAGTGAAACACGTGAAAATGCAGAGTAGTAAGCCTAACACCTTTTCTTTTACAAGGGATTGCTCCCGCATAGTACTGTAGATGGTCCATACGGTTTTAATCACCTTCATTTACGTATTTGGATTTGTGCGAAATTTTTTACTTATAACAAACATTTACATGACTCCCCATCAAAATAATAATGCTCAAAACTGGACACAGACACATCGGACATTCTGGTCCGGTGTAAAAAATGATGCATTGCACCAGAGGCACTGCACATTGGTCAGGTCTGACGGTCCGATGTCTTTTGCATAGACTGGATGTCAAAGAAATAGTGTTTTATTTATGGTGGAAATTTTTTATACATGCTATTATTGGGTAATTTAAAATGAATATTCATATTTTTCTTGAAAAAGCATTTTAAAAAATTAGGGTCAGCTACAAAGTAGGGTGGGTTCACTGGGTTGTGAAAGTGGAAACAATTTTGCCTAACAACACCACAGCCTAACATTTTGACAAATGTAAATGTACCTTAATGATAGCTGATGATCCATAAGTTAGGATATCCACAGCATGAAAGAGCTGCTGAAATGGCATGGACATTTTAGAGCATCTGTCATATCACCCCCAGTTCCATAACCCTCCTTCCAAGTTTCCAGTTAGCAGATATTAAGGGTTCCATATCCTGTTCCATCTCAACTTCATGTTCAATGTCCACAATATTAGGGATACCTATTCAAATAATATACATGTACATTTGTACTACTAAATCTATATAGCTGAGATTTCTTCCCTATCACTGCATATATGTAAACTAAAGATCGTTTCTCTGGTTTTCGAAAAAGAGTAGGCTCATTGGGGGCCGCCAGAGAAACCCAAAACTTTCAAAACCGTTCCTATAATATTTAAATTCCTACCGCCGAAATATGGCTGAAATATTGCCGACTCGGCGTAAAACAATAATAATCAATCAATCATATATGTAAATGTAGATGCAGTATATACAAAACAAGTGTTTTATTTTATTTTCATATTGTGTGGTCTACTTGATTATGATTCAGTTTCACATACTCTATAATATGTATTAATGCTTTTAGCTTTCATGAACTCAGAAGAAAATTCAATTAAAAAAAATGATTATAGTCAAAATTGCAATTCAGACACTCCACCATCAACATAACTTGGAAATTAATAAGGAAAGAAATAATCTTAATAAAAAGAAAAGTCCTGTTTTAGGCCAAAGAATTTAGTAGTAAGTATTATTTTGTGTTGTAGTGTAGTGAATTTTTTATCTAGTATGTTTTGGAAGAAAATATTGTCTAGACAGTGTCCAACACCTTGCATCTGGTTACCTTCAAATTTCCTTGAGTTATAACTGTGTCTCATATGACTTGACATTTATAATAAATTATTGTTTCTTTTAATATATTTTCTATGTTTGCTAAGTTTAAAAGCATTAATACATACATGTAAACAGGATAGAGTACATGAAACTCGAAACGTTTTTCCAAAATCAAACGCACCTGAATAACATCAATAAATTTTTGAATTTTTACTGATTCACCAACATTCCGGAATGCAATCATGTCACACAATATAAAAATAAATTACAAAACAGAATTGTATATAAATCATGTAAATTACCTCCTCATGTGTGCACTGGTAACCAGTGGTATTGTTTTTATTATAATATAGTGTAGTGCTCTTTATCCTTTTTTCGAATCTATATTGCAAACAACAACTAAGGAAGAATATAACAAATTTTATCTCAAAATCTCGAAAAAAAAAACTTTAACATGAATCGTCACTAATTTATAATGTTGTGTGTTCACTCATGCCCCCAATTCAGAAAAAAGTACCCAGTTCACTAATTTATATATATCTATTTTATCTAATACCGGTATTTTGCTGCGCCACAATCACTTTTACTGAATTGCTGAGGTAATGTTAGTTAAATGGTGTCAAATACTAGAGACAAACCTGGGCAGATCGTTTTTGCTAGGCTAGAGTTGTCGTGCGTTTGTGATTCGAATGATGGGTTTAATCTTTGCACAGTAATTTTCAGTCAGACGCAGCTCACCATCGCCTTTTTGAGTCAACGAAGCCTTGCTGTACCGCTGAATAGATTTGGTTGACGAAAATCCTCGTTTTCTCCGCATTTCATTCTTTTCGAAACATCCGCTTTGTTTACATTACCGAAAAGTAAAATAAGTCGTAAAATTACCTCGACTTGTTGTTAGTTTGAATCCAATGAAATTTTAGTCACATTTTATATGATTTTATATCAAGTATATCTTTAAAATAAGTTGCATTGTAAATTTTATTTCCAACTCTGCTACAGAGATGAACGACATAAGATTCATTTACGTCTTTCGGAGTTGCGCGGTGGATTCAAAATCGTCACTACCATACGTCCTTAAGTTACCTGTAAGTGTCCATTCTTTTTGGAAAACTGTCCATTCTTTTAAGAATGGACAGTTTTTTCAAAAAGAATGGACAGTTAAAACAAACAGAATGGAGAGTTACAGGTAAACTTTGGAATGTGTTCAAGAGGGAAACAAAAACAAATACATTAAATACTCTTTCATTTACATGTAAATAACAAAAAGAACGTGGAGATCAAATTTAATCCAGAACACAATGTCTGCACAGCATCCATTCGATTTTATTCTTTTAAATCCATGAGTAATGCACATTATTTCAATACTCAAAACTTAATTTTCACAAGACTTGAATTCAAATGACACAATTTCACATTTGATTAAAATTTCGTAAAAATCATTCCCTCAAGGAGAATTCATTTTCAGATATAAGTACGTCTAATATTAAATCATCCACCCAGACAACTGTTTGCACCATGAACACTACACTGCTGCAGTTAATATTTCGGTAGAAAATAAATAAAAATGAAACATTTCCAGATTCAAGATCGAAGATTGGCTCATGGCTAATCCAACACTCAGAACACAATTTACATCTCACCATTACACTGCTGCAGTTAATATATCCTCAAAAATAGAATGCAAATAAAACATTTCCAAGTTTGATTCGAATTTGATCATCTTTATCTGTCGTCGAAGTTCATTTTTGGGTCAAAATTTGGCTAATATTTCTTTTACTCTTACTTTTCAGAAGCCTACGGCCCTCGATTAGTTCTTTCTCTCACAGAATGGACAGTTTTCGGCCTTTCTCCTTTACATATATATATATATATATATATATATATATATATATATATATATATATATATATATATATATCTATATATCTATACTACTATATTAAAATTATAGACTCGAATTTTTGGCCTTTAATACCGATAAATCGGAAGAGAACTGTCTTTTGTTTTATATATTTTAAACATCATTGGTACTTGAAGATTACCAATTTGTTTTTATTTTTTCTCAATTAAGCTTCGCTAATTAATAATCAACGAAAATTCGCTAAAAAATTCCGGAAATCACCTGGATTTTTTGGATTTTTCAATCTTGCGCGTGCGCATTACATTCACGCTAAATCACGGTGTTCAAATCAGAGAAGACAAAAGTACGAAGTAGATATATATTTGTTATTTTATAATTTCTCTAATAAGAAATCATAAATATATATGAACGGAATATATAGCAAATTTCCAATGAAAATTTACACGTATCTGTATTATCGTTTCTTAGTTTATCCATGCAAATGTGATATTGTAGCCACGTGGGTAATCATTCGCCATCTCGGAGACACATTTATTATATGTTATTTATGTCTCTGGCCATCTCAACGGAGGCAAAAAGCTCTGGTTCGTAGGAGCAATATTAATGTAACTACCCGATTTAATTTTATCCTTCCTTTCTTTTATGTTTTTTTGAGGGAAAGGGGGGGGGGGGGAGGTGGTGTTACAACTCCAGCTAGAATCACATCTTAGTGAAGTAGGCATTCTTTTTCCGCCAAGAATTACAATAACATTATTTTCATTTCTTAACTTTGAAATAAATCGAAATAATCAAATAACGTCAATATAACCGATATTTTCAATTTGAAATGTGTCTAAATGATTGCAACTTGAATTTGTTCGCCATGTTACAATTACCTTCACTGCTGAGATTTATAACGCGGTAAATATGAAACATAAACTAATATAAGGGCAAAGAAATATGTAACCCGTATTAGCGAATTATGTAATTGTTTTTCCTGCAATACTTGCGCCGTGCATTTCCTACGTGAACATCAAAGAAAGCATTTTATTGTTTATATTTAAATTCACCTCAGAAAATTTCTTTAACTTTCAAAAAACGTGGGTGAAATATATAAATTATTGTTATTGATCTTCAGTACGTTATATAGAAGGGACAGCCTGTTTCTTCTAAATATGTAAAGGTTGTCGTGGTAACCACGCTTGATAGGTAGTCTGAATTCAGCCCTTGCGGCCCGTACAGTTTATTCTATCAATGCTGCTAAAATATCGATCATTTGTAAAATATAATCCATGCAATGAATAAATGAAATATATTTAATCGTAGCAAACAAACTAACGTTTTATTAAATCGCCACAAGACAAAATACACCAGCGTGAAAACAAGTTGTCTTCTTCAGCAGCCATGACAGTTTTCATGTGATGTAATGACTTTTGATTGAAAACGTTTAATACTGCAGTAGATTAACTTTTGTTATCACTAAACAGATATATAAATGTTTATGAGGTATGTATTTTATTTTTGCTGCATCATTTACGTATGAAGTCAGAAAAATCCCCATATTCAGTTCAAGATCCGCTCCCAAATTCTCATTGGCTGTCCCAAAATAAAATCGGTCAAGGTCAGTAAACTTTAAAGTTTGCGGTAAACTCAGACTATACTAAATATTTTGAAAAAAATTATGCTCTGAATAATTACATCAAAATCATTTATTTTAAAATGTTTCTGATTACATTGTATGATTTCAATTAAAAAATGGAAATGATATTGTATGATCCAAAAAAAGTTGTAACCCCGCCCCCCCCCCCCCCCCCAACAAGGAAAAGGCTTCATTATTGCAGCAAGAAGTACTTTCAAGTTCCATACCCTTGGTAAATTTCAAATATGCACATGGATGCATTCATAACAATGTCAAAGTCTAGTATATATATATATATATATATATATATATATATATATATATATATATATATATATATATATATGCGCATTTATCTTTGTATTACACATGTAATAATATCATCCCTGTTAATAATATCTTCCATGTTAATAATTATAGAATTTTTTCATATAGCAGAAAAAAGACACGTTCCTCGAAAATATATACTTTTTCTCAAAAATGTGTCACTGAAGTATTGATTCCTAAACAAGATCCCTCACAAACAAGATACGTCGCTGTTAGTGCATCGTATAGGTATAATTTTGGCACTTTTAATGAGTTAAAAAAAACTTCTCAAAAGAACATAAATCATCTATCAATCAATTTAAATTGAGAGTGCCGGATGCCACAGTAAGTGCATAGGCGCCGGAACCGGGTGCCACTTTTTTTGGATAGATAGACAAACATGAAATGTTGGCATTGAAAATTGTGGCTTTTTTTTTGGGGGGGGGGGTTACCCCCCCCCCCCCCTTTTCAATTTTCTTCCGACGCCTATAAAGTGGATTGGTCAGATAAGAGACTGGAAAGGCCCTGAGAAGTTATAATATTCCCTATTTTCCAATTTACAGAATGTCACAATAATAATTGCTGCACGAACCATCGAATGTGCAAACGGTGAATGTTATTAGATTTATAAATTTTTGTTTATTGGACTTCGCACCTCCTCGAGTACCGACCACTCCCTTGTTTTGTAATGTAGCGTGTTGACCTGTCCCTTCTTTGTTCGTTATTGTGCATGCGCACCTTGTTGCCCCCTGTGCATCTTCCCTTAATTAACGTGTTTGCACTTACATCTTGTTGCCCTTGCAGCGCAATGGTTGATGCTTAATTTTGCTATAAAATCGCGTCGCAAGGAATCGATCAAAACGTCGCGGTTTAGAATCCAACTGCGGGACGTCAAGACCGGTCCGTTTGTCGTATATACAGTCTGGATCGCTCAGTAGGTGCTGGCACAAAAGGATTCCTCACGGATCAAAAGATCACGTGACCAGATGGTTTTGAGGTTTGTTATAGTTGAAAAATATGGAGTTAACGCTTGCGTCGCGGGTTTCGAATCCCACTGTAAAACATGGAGATCGGTCCTACAGATTTGACAGTAAAAGCCGATGTCCCTTATCGCAGTAGGTCCTGGCACGAAAAAATTCCCTCACTGCTCAAAGGCTTAAGTGCCGAGTAGAGAATTTAATTTGCTGCTCTCCACCAACAAGAGGACGCCTGAGTTTGTTGTTATTTAGCTTGAGTAGAGACTGCCGATGCTCCAGTCCTGTAGAACATCGTTAGTTGCGATAACTGGTGTCACAACATATCAAAATTTTTGTTATTAACTATGGATCAGGAAGAATACTATGATTATTGATGAATTATTAGCGTGTCTATGAAATACTAAAAGAGAGAGTGATAGACGAATAGGGAAATCCGTATACCAAAATAGATAAACGTCCAATAGTACTGAGAGACTACCGGTAGGTAGAGTATCATCCTAAAATCGTAGAGTGAAATCGCAAGTTGTGAAAAAAAAATATGTAAACAGGAAGGAATAAAACTACAGTCCATAAAAAAGTTAATTTAACGTGTGATATAATTCATATGCATAAACATTTTAGGATTTTGAATGAATATATATAAAAATATAATACTCGTGATATTCTAAGTGGTAAAAGTTGTGTCGCGTGTATTTGTAAATTTCATGTATGTAATTTGAGAGGTTCGTTTGAAAACTGAAATGTTTTTAAATTATATAACATGATTTTGTAGGAAATACATGTAATCTGACTGCCTTTTGGAGAACAGAAATCTTTGTGATTGTGCATTTTTTGTTGGGGGGGGAGGTTCTTACGGACTTTGAAACTCAAAAGTAGAGTAAAATTAAGTCATATGATTCAGGTATATAGAGTTATGTCATCGTAATAAATAGCCACGGTTTTAGATTAGAGACACCCGGGTGGCAGTGGTAAGAGCGTCTGCTAAATTTGCAGCCCTCCACCGGCAAGTGTTGTCGTTTCCATTAGAGTAAAAAAAATCTCGCGAGGACATTTAATCAACAAACAAAATTATCAATTCGATCAATGATAGTTTATTATTATTGTTTAATGTTTTTATTAGGTCACCTGAGTCACTCAGGTGACCCATTGCTATCCGTTTTTGTCTTTCGT